TCTAGAAAGCCTCGCCCATGGAGGCTAACGATGAAGTACGACGACGGATATGCCTCGATTACATCACTGGTTAGTTTATTAAACCCAACCATTAGAAATGCATCACAGTGAATTTGAATTCTTCCCGACGTAAATTAAAGAGAATCCCTGGGCAATATTTCCCTAGCAAAGTTTGCCGAATAAAGCTTTAGAATAAGTAAAGGCACGAAATCCGCTGGTTCGTGAGATACCATATCTAACTTTATCAAGATATTTTTCCCAGAACATTTCAATCCCACGCTCGCACATTTAAAAGTCATTGACCGTGAAAATTTACCCTTTGTTTGAGAGTGATCATACAGCACTACCACTTACAAAAGCGGCAATCGGAAATTTGCAATAGCATTGGGTTTATAAGCTTGTTTAGCATTCCTCACAAGGAAATAAAAAAATGAATAGATACGAACCTATCAAGACTTCTAAGGACGCCCAGCACGCAGCCCAAATCCAAACACCGTTTCCGGAGAATTTTAGCGCATGCGATAAAACTGCCTTAGTTTTCTCTACCTGGATCCAGGCGTTGAAATATCAGTATGTGATTTACGCCGTGTTGTATATCTTTAAAGGAATTTAAATAGTACGCTTCACCAGCGGCTTCTCTGAAACTTGAAAATAACAGGCCAATAGGAGCATCTTTAAATGGTTGACAGCTTCTTAACCGAACGCTTCCAGGTTTTGTGCATAGTCCATCAAAGCCTCCATCTCACAGCGACTAAGGCTGGTTTTCCGGTGCTCGATACCCACACCCTCGATTTTTTAGCATACACAAACGCCGTTAACAGACCTGGACTGCAAACCAGCTGAGTTTACAGGAGACAGGAAATTTGAAAAGTCGTCGTCAAATTTTCTAATGGATAGATCTTGCTTGTCCGTCCTGACATGAAAAGATGGCTTCATGTTAGAAAGTGTAACATAATGCTCCCAGGCGACTCATTTACGGTTCCATATATAACAACAGATAGTGGTCTCTGACCACTATGACCGGTCTCACCAGGGACAATTTATTTGGCCGACAGCGGCGGCTGTTCTTCGGCGCTTCTGTTTGGACTAGCCCCAACTTCATGAAAGAAATTGGCGACTGATAATATCCGATACACTGCAACCCCTCCCTTCTTGATGGTCGAATGCTTTCCGCCAGCAGTTTTTTTTCTCCTGAACACTCTAAACCATAAAAACTACCATGAAATATATTTTTATTCCTTTTCCACAGGAGTTTTTTCACTGCTGGCCGGATTTGTGTTTAACGCTTCCCTAACAATACCTGTAAACTGGCATTAAATAAAAAATTATTATTTATGAATTGTCCAGACGACCCCAACCACGTACTGGATGAATTGACTTAAATTGTGAAAATTTGTTAGTAAGACTGACATAGGAGATCGCTTGAAATGAACAGACTCATGGAAGTTGTCGGTAATTGCCGAAATATTGACCTTTTATGAATAATAATCATGTTAACAAATACATGCAAACTCTATGCTCGACATGTTTTTGAATGATATGACAGCCCTTGAATGAACATTTAGAAACCTCTGATGGAAAGGTACAGTGAATACCCGGAATATCAAAAAAACTTGGGTATTTTTTAAAAAATGTCACTAATGGATGGGAAAATAGGATAAAAGGGCGAAATTTGAGGCTGCTGATATAACATTTGTGTTCAGTTCGGTTTATTTGGTAAGGATAGTAGGCAAGGCCTTTGAAAACCCTACTGAGTACACATCAGCCCGTTAGATACACCAGTACACGAATAATGAAATTATTCGCTATTAAAACAGTACTTGATTCATTTGAGTGGCTGTGTTTCCGATGAAAAGATATCCGGGATCGCGAGGTATTTAGCTCAGATTCAGATTGCCGGGGAAAAAGGGACACAAATAATCCCCCAAGCGTCTCCTGAAGAGTTTCAGGGACGTCGCCTCCAGGACTGACTGAGGGAGATCGTACCAATTCTCCACTACCCTTTACGTGAAAAACTTAGAACGAAGATTCGACCTGGACATTTTTCACCATAGATTCATCGAATGACTATAAAGATTGGGCAAAAGGTGCCACTGAAACATGTCCCCAAAGAGTAGTCCATGCTCAAGGCTACGTATTATCTTCTAAACCAAGATAAGATCACCTCTTTGCTGCCAGTTACACAGAGGGAATACATTAATGCAATTCAGTCTCTCTATGTATGAGTGGTCTTTTATACCGTTGACCAGCTTCGCTGTAAGATGTTGTACTGTATCAAGGCATGTTTGGTCCTTAACTAGCCATGGCTGCCATGCTTGCATGTCATATTCTAAATGCTACCGCACAAAGGCACCGTAAACTCCCCAAAAATGACCTTTGTCAAACGGTACGAACCCTCTTTTGATGGCATGCAGCACTCCCATGGCGTTTTTGCAGCCTTGTTGCACTGAAGTGCTGGTTTCATGTTGTTTTGTATCCAAACAGTGAGAACCTTCTGTGAAGGTTGTGCGGGAAGAGTAGTGTATTTCAGGTGATATGTCCTCAGGCTCTCAGTTGAATGACAGTTGATTGGACGCAGATAAGGGACGGCACACTTCTGCACACTGAAATTTAGACGCCATTTCTCCGACCACGCCTGCAGTCGGTACAGATTGTTTTGGAGAGCTCTCCGATCTTTAGGACTCTTAATGACTTGCCAGAGCGTAAAGTCGTCGGTAGACATTATTTTGCCGCAGTTGAGTTCCTGATGGTTGTCATTAACATAAAGAATGAAGAGCACTGGTGCCAGAACTGAGACCTGAGACATACCACTAGTCACGTTCACTCAATCTGACATATAATCTCCGAAACAGATACATTGTTTCCAACCAAACAGAAATGCCCTTATCCATTTCAGAAGATCACCCTGATGCCGATGGCGCTCAATTTGTAAAGAAAGCGTTGGTGCGGAACGGTGTCGAATGCTTTGCGGAAATCGATGTACACGACATCGACGTCAAAACCCCCTTCCGAAGCCCTGCTCAAGATCACCAGACAAGGTAGCAGATTTGAGAGGCAGGAACGTCCTCTCCGATTAGCCTGCTCCCTCTTCGTTGTACGTTCTCCATTAGACTGTAATCTTGTTTCGTTCATGGACAACATGCCTGAAAACAATATTCCAACATTGGTCGAACGTATGCTCCAAATACTCGGCCAAAAAGTTCTTTGTCAAAATTGAGGAAGGATCTTCTAATTGTGCCTAGGATACCCATAGCTTTCTTTGATACCTTGGCACAGTGAGACGATGATTTGAGAGTTGACGTCATCCACACACCGAGGTCTCTTAACTCGTTGACTGACTCGAGTTTGTTACCTCCTACAAAGTAGTGAGTTTCAAATCTCAGCAGCCTCCAGTTGTCAGATCGTAATCGGACAAATTGGCATTTGTTATGATTGAGGGTAAGACACCATTCATCACGCTATTGTTGCAATCGATTTAGATTTTCTTGTAATTGCACAGAGTCTCCCGGCTTCTATACTGATTTCCACAATCTTAGATCATCGGCAAACATTACGCGCTCGCAGTTCAGACAATCGAGGTTGTCGTTCACATATATTAAGAACAGAATTCGACCCAAAACGCACCCCTGCGGAAGGCCACTGTGGACAGATGCCCATTCCGATTTGGCGTTTCCGATACACACATGCTGAGATATGCCCGTGAGAAAATTGGCTAACAAGTTCAGCAGATTTCCATTCAAAACCATTTGACGTAGTTTAAATACATGTCTTCTGTGTGGAACACTGTCAAAAACCTTCCTGAAGTCAGCGTACACGGCGTCGACTGATAAACCCATATCGACCGATTTCGTCCAGCTCTCCATGGATACTAGCAGGTTAGTGAGACAGGATCTACCACTTCGAAATCCATGCTGATGCGACCGAGCAAGTAGTCTTCTTCAAGATGCCGCATCAGCTCCGTTTTTATTAACTTTTCCATCATCTTGCAACAGATGCCTGTGAGATTCACTGGTTTGAAACTATTTGGGGCAATTCTCACACCACCTTTATATATGGGGCTTATATTAGGCAGAGCCTCAGTCTCCATCGAAGTTCTGAAGATCCTGGATTACGGAGACGATATTTGGTTTGATAGCTCATTAAGTATCAGCCCAGAAATCCCGTCGGGTTCAGGAGACTTGTTTGGTTTTATTTGACTGAGGACACGTCTTACTTCTTCGACGTAAAGGCAACGGTTTCAATGACGGCAGTATCTTGGCGTATTTGAAGCTGACGGCTGTCTTGGCCCATTTCAAACTGCTGATTGTCTTCTGAGGATTCATCGGTAAAAACCAAATAAAAAAACTGAGATAGTAATTGCACTCTCTGTGGTTCTTTAACTAATAAGTTGCCGAGGCTATACTTTAGACACGTAATTTTGTCCTATGTTTTCTCCTACTGTGGATGTACCCATAAAACTACTTGGGACATGTAATGGATTCTGTTATCAATCGTTGATCGAAAGAAGGTCTAACAATTCATGTTTGTTTGTGTTCCATGTACTGGGTCGTACTTGGCACCCTCAAAACATACGTGACAGGGAACATTTGTATCCTTGATATTCGCGAGATATAGCTATTGATTACCGTAAAAAATTCCTTCCGTTTGCAAAAGAAGTGAAGTGTGTTGGAAGAACAATATCAAAAGCCTTATTCTGAACAGAAGGGTACCAAATAAACGAGTTCGTACGTTCGGCATAATAGTAAAAAATCACGTGTATTTTTGGATTTCTAGATACAGAGGGGGATTTGAAATATTATGGCTAATTAGTCCGTGTGATAATATCAGTAGTCTCAATAGCAGAAGGAGGGGCAACAGCGAATGCCGATAGATTGATACATTTTTTTTCGGGCTCATTCCGTCTCATTCAGTCAATCATAGACCTGACCAGCACCAGGGACCAGAAGCACAGCCGTGTGCTCGTACACAGTGCGGATGATTCATATACGAGATCTAGGGGAATGGTCGTGGGGACTTCACCCAATCGAAGTTCGCAAGCGCCTCGTCACCCTCCATTCTCTGTCGCTGTAGATCAGGTACTTATTCAACCAGGGATAAGAGCACACCGAAATACTGGCTTCCCAACAAAGAATGCTATTATCGCTTGATCGACTCCAACCTGAAAATTGGTTGCGCGGTCGTTGTTTTTATAATCAGGAAAACTAAAGGACCGTATGTGGATATTTCTGTTTTGATAATAGTTTTTTGTCATATTTTATCAGTGTGTTATTTAATGCGGGTGCTTTCCGTAAATCTAGATGGGGAGTCAGATTCTGGAAACCTAGAATTCAAAAGAAGACGATTATGATTCTTTATTTATTTTCCAGACGTCTTCAGCATGTCCATGTGCATGAGTTAGGTGTAGTGTCCATACATGTTGCAGAAAGATTGCCATAGCAAACACACTAAATAAAAGTATCCCGATAAATGTTCCTTCAGGCATCAGCTGTTATTAAGCCACAAATAGGGCAGGATAAATTGTGCCCTTTTCATTGCCCTTGTAAGGCCCAGTAGTTAGACATCACAGCATTCTCCTTTTAACTTAAGTATCAGGGTTTTCAATATCGGATAGTTGTGCTTTACATTCAAGTCAACGTTTGTAGATATTTTGAACACGTGCCCACAAAACATAATTAACTTATGCGTTCGCTGCTGCACTTTCCGTCATTTATTTCGGCAAAAGTTTCGTCGATTATGCAATTACTCGACATGTGTTTTACTAGTTCACTGTCTTTGACCGCCATAGTAATGATCGAATTAAATATTGCACTATTTAAATGGAGCACAGTGCACGAGAACCCAGTTAAAGGTCATTCCAAAAAAATAAATAATGCCTGCATTAAAATTCGAAGGAACGCTCATTTTAAAAAAGGTATTTGAAGTCAATTTCTTATTTTCCAGTTATTTCCTGTCGACACTTATCTCAATTATCGCGACGATGTTTGTGTGTTCATCAATATATTCGATACGGTTAAATTATCGAAACTAAGCGAACCAACTTTTCCACTGGAAGTCCACGAAATATTTGCATTTGAAAAGGTACCTTGGTCAACTTCCTTTTTGCTTAGGTGGATAGGTCTTTTACGATGTTAGCTCTTCTTATGAACTTTGTCGAAAACTGGAAGGCATGTAGTCTTATAAAATATTAGCATGCAAATAGATATGCCAGTCACCATCGAACTGCGACAGGTTACGGACTGCCATCGAGGTGGAACATTATTAGCTTATTTTGACGGGAACGCTCGGGATTTGTTTGACCCATGTCCAGTTTTTTGCAGCACCTTAGGTACCAATCGTGAACTCCTAATGCGATCGAACAAGGTAAGACGCGTGACAATTACTCAACCTGGACTTAGTCATCGTCACCAAGATTAGAATTTTCAACGAGCACTAAAATAGTTCCATATGTTCCAAGTCCTCCACCCACCTGTGTATGCTCACATAATACTTAAGCATTAACTACTTTAGCATACAGACGGGCGCTGCTGCTGCAATCACAAGCAAGTCCCAAATTTTAATTTGTTATGGCCAGGTCTTCATCTAATTACGCAAGGCCAACGTTTACGAGTGCACTTAAATCAACCAACACAACTTCCACTCTGACAGGGAAAAATCCATCCAGGCACGTGGTAAGTTGCCTTAGCACTTTATACTTTGACCGACGGCTGCGTAAGGGAAGCTTCCTTTCGTTTAAAAAACGTCTTAAAACGTCTTGAACGTCTTGAACTTAAACTAGCTGATTTTTGAAATCTGTTTCCTGTGGGACTAAAATGTGTGCTTATCTCTTACTTATATGAAGTAGACATGAAAGAACTTTGACATGAGTGGAATGTTGGACAGATGAACGATTGCCGCTTACGTATAAATGATTTTCCCATGCTCATATGCATATGTATTTTGAAATCTATTTGGGGAAAATCTGCCAACTGGACTGCTATAAACTTCCTCATTGCTTTTCAGGTAATCTTTGGTCAGAGAAATAATATAGTCATGAATAGTTTTGATTGTTATGTTTTTGCCTTATAGAACTGTTTTAACACAGTACCAGGATTCGTGGATAGCCGTAGCCCGTCTAAATCCCCTTTAGGAAGGCCCACTACATCAACTCTTCGTACGTTAAAACTTTCTGCCTTTCAGTTGAATATTTTGCATCCATAACTTGCTGTATATTACAAGAATCGAGTTCATATCTATACAGTAACTTGCCGACAAATGTCTGACACAACATGCATTAAAATTCTGCTTTAATACTATATGTACCTTAAAAATGCCGTCATAAACCTAAAGCTGACACTTCATATGCGGGCAACTACCTTAAAAGTCTTTTATTTCTGAATCTTTTACTGTTTATGTTATCGAGGGTGGTAACTTTTGCAAAATAACATTTTAGCCTGTTGTCGGTGCCCGGCAGATTGCTGCTGCGTAAGTCTTTCAAAATATGCTCTCATTGTCGTTAAATTTTGTTAGGTGATTGATAGACAAACTTTCTTTTGTTTCAGAAAACCATGTCTCTATTGATATGTCAAGAGCTCCAGAATGTTTGAACTCAAAAGTGTTTGTTTCTCCCTGTTCGCGTTAAAAGACAGTAATTTTATAAATAATTTAATCAAATTCTTTGGCTGTCGTTCTATAAAATAACATTGGTACTACTTGCTGCATAAGCACTCAATCGCCGATGGTCGCCAGCTTCCGTAATCTGTGGAAATCTACTCTGTCATTCGCTTGAATGTCTCGGTGGTGTACAGCCTTAAATTTGTTTGGTGGTCTACAAGGCGCCGACTGCAATACCAAAATTCTAGGAAATTGAATCAACGCAAAACATTTTCTCATCTTCACTCGTTTAGAAAATACATGGCTAGAAATCCTGTCGGTCTGATGGCGTGCTTTACGAACATATAAATGCCCTTTTCCGCAAATATTAAAGGCGCCTTAAAACGCAGTTGATTAATTTAACATTACTAACATCCACATTACCTCACTTTTAGGTCCGCAAAGCGACACCATCTAGTGATCTTACTGAGAAGGAATTAAAAGCGGCCCAGGAACGAAGGTTTGTTCAGTTATTTCCTTATCTCTGTGATGTTATTGGTATTGTCAGCGAATGTTGCATTTAGCCTAGTTTTTAACACAAAGAGTCTGTTGCAAAATTTTGGCCATCTACGTATTTCAAACAAAGCAAAGAGCTTTGCATCCATTTTACAGTAGCGCTCTAGATTTGCGCTGCAGCGGCTTCCAGCTGATGCCTTTTGTGCGCGCGGTTTAATACAATGAATATTCAGGATGCAGTGGCCTCTAAAGCCTAACGACTGTCAGAGTTTTTCCTACCAGTACGCGATTCTTAACTGATATAAGATTATGCGGTGACGCCCATTGTCTCCATCCTCGGTATCTTTTAATTAAGTCTATTTCAGGCAAGCCCTAAAGCTCAGTATTGCAAGTGGTGGGACGGGCCTCAAGTGTTCTTGCATCTTCTCACACTTGCTTCAGGAAAAACCTACAATTCACCGAAATATTATGAAGAACAGAACTAGTTTATTAGGAGCTAAACCATTTTCCTTGAAGTTCGTCCACGTCTGAAAAAAAGGAAAAACACATGCCTTGTGTGTGGGGCAAAAGACTTTAAATCTGGTCCCTAAACCGACGACTTTCTTATTTTAATAAATCAGAGAAAACCTATTAAACATAATTCCGCTCAGCAAAATAAAGCAACAAAGTTTGGACATTTAGCCTTGGCAGAGAATCCAAGTAGCTCTACAGTAGTCTAAACTGAAACTCTCTGACCCAGTGACCAGCTAGGCGGACGAGTGGGAATTGATGCTTTTAGTCAACCAACAAGCCCTAAGTTTTCATTTTTTTCGGTAACAGGTAGCTGAATCATCTTCTGTCTACTGGAGCGAAAAACTGACACTTTGTCGTCTAGTAGGATTTTCTGCATTCAAATGTTTCCTGCTTCGATGCAAAATCCTCTTTTCCTCTTTTAAAGTCCACAGTACACAACATCCTCCCTTAAGACTCTAATCTAACTCACCCACTTTCCGATACGATACTTTACCTCGCCGTGATCCCATCGGGAACACTTGAGACTATAATGGGTAAAAAATAAGCCATCTAGAGCAACAAGCTATCAATAGCAAGACTGGTCTCTACGCGATAATGTACAATAAGTGAACCAGGATAAAGACAATGTGCACAGGTGTTTCATAAATTTCAGTGTAACAGTGTGCTTAGACGGGTCACCAACAAACGATCTGGTAAATCAGAGCAACAGCTGATCCCGATTGTTATCTTCGCCGGATCTTGGCTTCCGTAATGAGTTTCTTGAAAGCTGCAGCTTTTTGACAGTTTCATTAATTTATGTTTAACGTTACGGCAGATTAATGTCTTACTTTTGTTTGACTTCTGCACTGTTTCATTTCTGTATGGATAAATTGTCAGATTTGTCGCGTTACCTTTCCAACTGTCTCTTTTTAGCGACCGCTACTGGCACATGTACCGTTTCTGGCAGCGAGAAGTTGAGAACATCCGTCGAAATAGGACGTAGAGAACCTGCTTTCTGCAAAAAAGGTCACCGAAAAGATACCCATCTGCCCATTACTTTGATCGATTCCCCGTCTCTCATAGAGACCGCTTTCTTCCACACTCATCTCTAAGATACTATTTCGACCCGACTCTTTCCTTTTTTTCTCCAGTTTAGATTCTCTTATTAGCGCTGTTATTGATGATGCCTTCCCAGCCGATTGTTGTTTTACCCCGCCTTTCACAAATATTTTACTTACATCTTCTTCCATCATGTTCCAATATTTTTCTCCGTCAAAACTGAGGACAATGACGATGATGATAATGATGATGATGATGGGAACTATCATTTAATATTGAT